TAGAATTCAATACATATAAAATATGAATTACAGTCACAACAATAATGGTAAAAATTTTATTACTTTCTTAAATAGCATATATTAAATCTGAATAAACGTTCTTAAAATCTCAGTATATATTCGATTTTATATTAACTACGTAATAGAATTTAATATAATATATGAATTACAGTCACAACAATAATAGTAAAAATTTTATATATTACTTTTTTAAATTAGTATATATTAAATGGGATATTATTCAACTATTTGAGAGAACAATACATAGTAAATGCTATTCATTCAGTTTTTGAGTTGATTTCAATCAAACATTTTAAGACAACTCCAAGCCTATTTGGACATAGTCCAAATATAGGTGCATATAGTTCGTACTAATTCGTGATTAATATTGACATTAATACGATTAGCTAGTTATATCAATATCTTAGATAACTTAAGAACCGGTTTTGGATTAAAGTTTTTATTTAGAAAATGGTCTAGAAAAATCATAATTCGAAGAAAATTTGAGTTTTGAGAAAAATATATTTTAATTCCAGATTTTTGGACGAACAAGAATACATGCTTGAATTCAATTCAATTCGCCAAGTTAAAATTAACAACCTTCTGATTAGTTACTATTCTATTTTTAGAGTACTATTGGCTTTTTTAAATTAATATTTTATTAAGCTAATATACAATAAAAACTGTATTATATATAAATAAGAACCGATATTTTAACTTGAATTTAAAGTCTTAATTAAAAAATGCTAAATGATGGTTTTCTAGTCCATTTCTCATTTACAGAGTCCAAACAAAAAAAGATCGGACTTTTACCAGTTTCACTTTGCTTATAATTATATAAACCAATTTTTTTACTCATAGCCTTTATTAACTATATACTACCTTTTATAAAAATTCGTGCGTATTGCCAAGAAACATTAGGCTTTCAAACCTGATGACAGGTTTTCTCTTAGCAGCACTTATATGCTATTATAAAACCAGAAACTTATATTCTATTAATATTCTTATGAATAGCCTATTTTTCCAATAGAAGATTTTACCAAAAGCATTTTTGTGAAATGGACAATTTTCTAGCAACTAGATAATATCGCACAAAGCCAAGAATGAAAACTTTGCAAATATATTAGCAAAATAATTATCAAAAGTATCACAATGTAAATAAAATTTTAACTAATAAGCAGCTTGCAAAATTAAGTGAAATATTGAATATAGTCTATTGAAAAAAATAATAGTATAGATTAGACTTAACATTATAGACATGATAATATAGTCAAATCTCCCTAAGTTCATGCTCTGGGAACTAATATAAATATGCATTTAGAATTATATGTAAAAAGTGAGTCAAGTAATAATTAGCCAATAAAATTCTAAAGCTCTATCCAATAGAATTAGCTTGATGTACATGCATTTAGAGTATTAAGTCCCAGGTTCAAAATCTCTTGCATGTTGAAAGGCCCAAGAACTACTGACCGACCCATTTTTCTGTTTATTATTTTTATTTTATCGTTCATTTTTAGCTTTTGTTTTTTCCTTTTTAGAAAAAGCTCAACATATGTAGTATCACAGGATAAAATGAGATCTTTAAAATAGGGTATAGTAAAATCTCATGTGCATAGAAGAAATCGTAGCTTCGAAATAATATTACAGAATGCTTATTTCTGACATTCTGTGGCTGTAACATGAACATAAAAATTGAAATTGGTTATTTTAGGAGGCTTGGCTGTAAAAAGATAGAATAAAAGTCTAAAAGCCTTTCATCTATAGTGTTGTAAAAGTTATGAAAGAGACGTAATTTCGCACAATCTACAGATTATAAAATAATAATTAAAAATAATCCCTCCTGCATTGAATTCTTAAATAACAAAATTTGTTAAATAACCATTAGTCACGCCTTTAGTGAGTTGTCTTGTATTATTTTCATGCATTGTTCATTATAAAATATTTCTTGTCTAATTCTGCCTGTAACAGTAGAAATAAGTTTTAGATAGTAAAAATTGACAAAATCCAAAAATCGAAAGAGAAAAAAAAATTATTACCGTAATTGTAAGATGTAAAAGTCGACTTATATAGTGCTTATAGTACTTATAGTACTTATTCGACCTATTCGATTTATGGTATTTATAGTGCTTATAGTACTTATTCTCTTAGTAAATATAATGAATTTATTAGCCATAGTAAATAAATTCATATTGTACTTCATGACAATGTAAAAAAAACACCTTTTCGCGTTAACAAAAAATAACTCTTGGAGTTTGAAACCTTCCAAGTTTTGATTTCTAAATAGTTTCCCTTTAAAGTCGTTAAAATCGTTCGATTCGTCGTTATCGTTATTACTTGTCCCTATAATTATTCGTATATCCTATTTTCGTATTGCAAAAATATCAATTAGTAATCAGATTATTTATATACTAAGATTATCTTGTGATTACCTCATTAAAAACCATTACCCTCTGGATCGTGATACCGTAACCACGTGAGATCGTGAATCGAATTCATGTCCGCAGTAACCGCTAACAAAAGAAAAAGGAAAAGTATTAGTAAAAATAATACAAAAGAATAAATTGCCCAAACCAAAAGTAAAAAAACACTTATCTGAACCCAGCATTATCTCTATAAGCTCATTTAACCCTGATTATTCGGACAAATCTTTTTACGTCTTAATCGAAACCCACCAATATTAGGGTTTGATTAGAACAGTTAGTTGTAGTAATTGGATAGAGTAGTTTAGTTAGTATAATGTGTTATCCATATTTCGCCTTACAACATTTCTGACGCAGCCAAGACTTTCTTAATGTGCAGAATTTAGAGGGCGTGCATTTAGCCAAGCATTGTGTGCATTTAAGAAAGGTGTGCATTTAGCAAAGATGCACTTAGGGAGGTTTGACTGCAGATATAATAATCCTCATATAACAAAGCTACAGTATTTAATAAATAGATCTAACCATTCGATTAATTTGACCAGACCAGTTTGACAAAATTCCTTGATCATTGACCAGCAAGTTTTTGGTTGTCAATAATCTGACCAACCCTGATATATTAATCTTACAATATACCATATATTCAATTAATAAATCAATGTATGAGCAGTAATCACTAGTAAAAAAATTATATTTTAACTAAATATTAACCAGTAATATATAGTACAAATATTAACTAAACATTAACCAGTAATATATAGTACAAATATTAACTTATTTGCTATATATTTACTAGGTAATATATGTATTTAAACATATTAACTAAAATATATTAAACTGCATATACTATCTAGTAAATATATAGAAATAAGTTAATATTTGTACTATATATTACTGGTTATTATTTAGTTAAAATATTATTTTTTTATCAGTGAGTTCTTTTATAGACAAACCACTCTTATGTCGATGATTGTTGACAATATTAAACGCATTCAATCTGTAGGTACAATATCCAACATTATCAATTACTAATGAAGTCATCAAAGTGAGTTAGATAGTGAGGTTAGATAAGTAATTTTATTGGAAAATGTTCGTGTCAGAGATGTGGTTATTGGAAAGTATATCATAAAGAGGAAGCGGTTGTCTAAAAGTTATTGTGTAGGGAAGGTAGAAGTAATTGTCAGGGACGTTGTGTGTCGAAGAAATGATTGTCAGAGTTATTATCTGGAAAATAAGGTCAGGAATTTATATTACTAAAGTACTGTAGTAATTATTTTTAGCGATATATTATTACCCTTAACGAATCACATAATAATATATAGAAACTGGTAAAATATATAAGTAATAGAGACAGCAAAATAAATGTGCTTTTATTTGCAAAAATTTGACAGCATTTAATAAACAAAATAAAATCAATAAAAATTGTTCAAGCACTGATTAAGTTCTTTAATTTTGATATATTGTCGCAATTGAACGTTACTACAATTACATTAAGGGGTGATACCTGAGCAATCTCAAAGGGAAACAAGTACGTACATACGTACGTACAGGCAGACCTTAATATAATCACCAGGTTGAGAAACAAAAATTTGGTGATTATAAAAATTAGTGACCATATAAAGGTTAAAATTTATAAGTTCATTATAGTTAGGACTAAAAAATACGTGACTATAACAAGTTGTGACTATAACAAGTTGTGACTATATCAAGAGTGACTATAAAGAGATCTGACTGTATAATGATAATTAATAGATAAAAAAATTAATCATAAAAATTGTATAGCTATCAGATCAGTATGGTATGAGCAGTACAAGTATAAAATCGTATAATACTGATCTGCTAATATATATAAGTATTTTTAATATAGTAACAGACAAGTATGGTACGATTTTTAAATATGTATAAACCATACTATACTATTGTAATAATATACAAAAGCAGATTAGTATAGTATGATTTTTAAATGTAAACAATACAATATTATTTTAATATTATATTATAAGCAGATCAGTATGGTACGGTTTGATAAAATCACATCCATACCATACTGATGCGGACGGTCGTACCATACTGATCTTCTGTAATTCCCCTATTCACGTGTACGGTTTACACACGCTCTATGACAGATACGAGTTAATTTTGACAGATATAAGGTAATCGGAGATTTAATTTATGCAAATAAATAGAGGTTCGATCAAGTACGCGATCGATCTTTTTTTTTCATTTGTAATAAACAAATAAACAGTTGGCGCCAGTGTTAAAGTGAACAAAATAAAAGCAAGTGCCTTTAATTATTATGCGGCATTAATTATTGTTGTGGCTGAAGCTGGAAACGGCTGAAGCTGGAAATTTTAAATATTTTATTATGAAATTTTCGAAATTTTTTGGGGTGCATTTTTTTAGCTTTTTTTTTATGGTTAGATTAGGATTTAGGGTTAGTTTTTATAATGAAAGAGTATAAGTGGATTTTGGCAGGGTTTATATTTTTAAATCAGGGTCTCTGATTTCCAGCTTCAGCCGTTTCTAGCATCAGCCGCGACAATTATTTTCGCGTTAACTTACGATTCTTATATATTTTTAGTCATGGAATTATTCGATAGTGAGTTTATTGACGCTGCACGTGACAAAGTAATAAATGAAGAGTTGAACAAAGCAGTAGTTGAAAACTATCAAGATGTATGTTACGAAGTAATAAATAAAGCGTTAAACGAATCATTATCACTAAATGAAGTAGAAGTTGAAAACTATCAAGATAATACAAGTCATAGGCTTATATTTGATATGGACTCTTCGGACGAAGATTTAAACGTTCCTGCTCCTTCGCTTCAAATAACTTTAGGTAAAAAAAAAACCCCATATACAGTTGTCTCTCATTAATATCAACCTATTTGGATCGCTTTTATATTCATATTGATAGTGATATTAATGAGGGAATATATCAAAGTTGATATATAGGAGGGAGTTTTAATATCATTTAACATATAGAAATTCATTTTCGGGGTTGATATTAATGGGAGTCGACTGTATTTAGGCAATGTTGAAATCTTAAATATAGACTTTGGCTGATAGATTTTGACCTTTTTTTTTAAAAAAAAAAATACTTTAGAACAATCTTTTCATATCTGGGACGATGTTGAAAATTTTCTAAAGGATTATGGATTAGAAAAGGATTTTAGTATCTGCAAAAAACGTACAGAAACACAAATGGAAAATGATACTCAAATCTTATGTAAAGTTAGTTGGGAGTGCAGTTGTGCTGGTAAGTATCAGCCGAAAAAAGTGTTGAATCTAAAAAATCAAAGAAATCGTAAGTCCAAGGCATCAGGTTGTGAATGGAGAGTTAATGCAAACCTTTCTAAGAGTACATCAATGATCATTTTTACTACTGTCGTGGATACGTATAATTATCCGATGGTGCCTTCACCTGCAACCAACCTTGCTAGATATCGTAAGCTCAGTGATGAGATGGTTGAATTTATTGAATTCT